AAGTGATAGTTACTCGGTGTGGGCAGATTAAACCGTAGTCTAGCCTGATATGTAGCGTCTTTGCTCATCGTAGCCCTTCTGAACGCTCCCTTGCTGTCTGGACGTAAACACACAGTCTGGTAGAAATGTATCTCGTGTTGCCTGACTTATATCAGTCATTTTATATCACTTATGTATCTCTAACGATGCGTTTAGGCGGCTGTAGCTGCAGGCTGTTTGTTCACCAGCCAGGCGCTCTGTGGCGTTGTCCTCTCGTCTCCCCTTAATGCAATCACACTCCCATAGCGCAAACAGATAATAACATCTCCAAGTGATGACCTTAACATCCCTGTCTATAGTAACCGACACCTTATTACCTTTTTTGCCCCCACAAAACAGACATTTGTGCCATATTTGTGACATAATTTCGAAAACCATCTGGAGAGAGCAGGAAATGTGACATGTCACCAATAAATCAGTAGATCTGGTCCTCCGTTTTCACCCAAATTGAGCTCCTAATAGTTGCATAAATAACCAGAAGTGCAGTTGGTGATTACGACCTGACGGGTCGGCCTGCTGGGCCTCTTGTGTCGTTGACAGCAGCTTGATTTTTAAAGTGCTCTCTCGGGGCTTGGGGCCGACCTTCCTCTTGACTCGAGTCATTCAACGTTTTACAACTTCCGGACAGGCCAGTGTTTCTGTATAGTTAACAGTAAGTGGGCTTGTACTTGTGTAGCACTTTTCTTGTCTTCCGAGCACTCGAAGAGCTTTAACACTTCATGTCATCGTTCACCCATTCACTCCCATTCATACGCTGATGACAGGGGCTGCCATGCAAAGTGCCACCTGTCCATCAGGACTTTAACTAACCATTCCTACCCGTTCATACACCGCAGGCACAGTTTACGGGAGCAATTTGGGTTTAAGTGTCGTCACCCATCGATGTGGACTATTGGAGCCGGGGATCGATCCTCTAAATGAAGAAACAAATGTAAATTGTATATTTGTTTGATGATCAGAAAAATACTGGACCTTAAATTCAAAAGGATTGCTGCGACGCACAGATTCATTGAATCACTGTACGTGATAGAAACTCTGAAAGTGGTTATGACATGGATCGATTTTTGGAGTAATATGCAGTTAAAACCTTTAATGGCATCATTGTGGGACAAGGGAAACGATTATAGACTGTAACAACAGTCTGTGACGTTAGTTCAAGCCATTTTCTCAAGATAAATCTACGAGTTGCCCCAGACCTACAATTGCAGCAACTTGCTGAATTTGTGATGGCAGATTATTCTTGACAGCCCCATTTTCATCTTTTACTGATTCTATTGCTGCGCAAAGCGCTTCTGGAAGCCTCAGCTTCCGCTTGTTTTGTCTCTCACGCTTGTGAAGTGTTTCACTTTCATCTCCTCAAAGTTGGTTTGTGGCTCAGACACTTAAAACAACAGGACTGTATTCTGTGAAGAGGGAGTGGAGTGTTGAACTACACTGACAGCTTAAAAAAGACCCTTAAAAAGATCAGTATCTGTCACAATGCCCATTCAGCGGTTTTGAAAGGGTGCGTCCCTGATTCTCACCAGAATTAGGATGAAACCTCTTCATCTGGTGAGAAGATCCAGCTCTGCTTCTCCTCCTGCAATATTTTCATCTATTCTTTAACCATTTATTGCCTGAACAGCACTATTTAGTATCTAAATGAAAATGTAAGTCGTAAAACTTCAATTTTAAGTCAAAACAATAACATTCATCGTAGATTATTCTATCTAAAGTGTGTTTGTTAACCCCCCCCTTGTAGCATTGCAGTTTAACAGCATTTAAAACCAGCACAGATCTAATAACAGTGGATTACAACTGAAGCTGGCGTGAGTGAACGTGCTGGAAGTGTTTGTCTGTTTCTGTGGGCGGTTGGATTAATAGATGAGGATTTAGATTGGATGAAATGATGCGAAGCAGAAAGCATCGGAGGAACGCGC